GACTCTAGTTTCTTTAAAAGCGTCAGACGTATTTGGGGCTTCTTCAAAATGAGAACATCTAAACCAACAAATTGCTTTCACATGTAACAAAATGTTCATGAGTTCCAGGTTTTTCCAGTTGCCATAAGATTAAACTTAAACTTGCCATAAGATTATGCTCAAGTGGCATGAAGTTATATTGCTTTACGTTCGATTTTCTAGTCTTTTAAAAATATTTTAAAGCCAGACCACCCCCCACCCCTCAATACCCCTGGTCTCAAACTTTTTTGCAGGACTTTGAACGTTTCATAGGCCCCACATCCTTTGCTTGCATGACCAGAAGAACAAACAGCCAAAATCCGTTAAAACCGATGCCTGTGGAATAAAGGCAGTAAAACAAATGAATGAACGAACAAATGAATGAATGAATGAGTGAATTCTAAGTGCCACACGGAGGAAGAAATGGCACTGCAGCCCGAGGTCCCCGTGGCTCCCACCACGGTCAGTCTGGTTGACTGTGGGAGAAGGGGAGGGCAGGATGCTGGAGGCCCCTGCAGGAGGGCCTGAAGGGTGGAGGAAGCTGGGCAGAGGGAAAGGAGAGGTAGGGGAAAGGCTGCGGGCTTGTGTCCCTCTTCTCTGCACCTACCACTGCCCCCAGACCTTCCCCAGAGGAGGGCACATCTATTTCGAGCCTGGGAAGTTCCAGCCCCTAGCGTGATGCCTGGCATATAATCTGTGGCAATAAATAGTTGTTGACTGAATGGATGGAATCAGTCTCTGGTTAAGCTAGGCCGCAGTGTTAGTCACTCTTGTCCTGTCCCCAAACACCGCCTTGCTGCCTGACAACAACGAATGTCTCTCCCAGGGCTGCCTGTGCAGCTAAGCAGGCAGTCCACGGCACTGCCCCTGGTGGTGCCATTTTCCTGGAGGGCCTGTGTGAGTGATGCCCCCTGAAGTCGTAGGACAGGGTGCACCTGCAAAACACTGTTTCCTCTTCTTTCAGGCTCAGGGGAGCTGGAGCCACGCTGAGAATGAGAGGGGTAAGGGAAGGGATCTCCCAGTCCGGACATTGCAGTCCTTCCCCTGCTTTTCCCTCCAATTCCTAAGGCCCCGCCCTTCCTTTGTTCCTTTCTAACTTGGCCTTGCGGTGGCTTAGCCAAACCTGACCCATTATTCTGTCCCTCAGTTACAGAGTCTGGAACTTGCAGTATGATTTTGGCAAGACACAGAACCTCTCCAGGTCTCAGTTTCTGCATCTAAGACATAAGTAAACGTATACGGAGCAATTCTTGATGATTCTCCTTGGCTTAAAGGGACCTTATGGAGACAGACATTGAAGGAATGCGTCCGTACTAGATGTGGCGTTCTCGGAGAGGACAAAGCCCCACATCCCGCCCAGCCCAGCCAGGCCTTCTGTGCACTCAGGCCCCCAACCCAAAGGAGGGGCAGCATCCCGGAATGGAAGGAGCCTGCGCCGGGAGCCAGAGCCCTTGTGGAGCCCCGACTCCGTTGGTACTATCTGATGATAGTGCGCTGCGGAGCCAGCCAGGGCCCCTGCCCGGGCAGCTCTGTCCTCTGCAGAGCAGGTACTCCGCCCGGTCAGCCGGCGTCCCATGCCAGGCTGAGTCTCTGATGGCCTTTTCCTTTTCTCCTTTATGGTTTTTTGTCTTATTCTTTGTTATTACGAACATCACGTATTCTCATGGAAATGCGAATGGTACCAACATCAGCGACGTATTAAGTGAAACCCGACTCTGCTAACTCACTGCCAATTTTTTTTATAACTTTAAATTCCGACGTGATGTCAAATTTCCTAAAAAGTTACAAGAGTGCTAGGAAGACTCTAGTATAGATTTGACTCAGATCTGTCAGTTATTTATGTTTGTCATTTTTTGCTTCATTTCTCTTTCTCTGTGTTGTGTGTGTGTACAATTTCTCCCCTAACTCTGTGAGGGTAAATTGCAGACATACATAAAGCCTTTTACCTCTCAATCCTTCAGAGTGTATTTCCTAAGAACAGGGACATTCTCTTACAATGTCAGACTTACATAACCCCTACAGTTAACAAAATCAGGAAACTTAGCATTGACACAACACTATTATCTAGTCCACAGTCCATGTTCAAAGTCAGCTGTGTCGTGACATTTTCATAGGTTTCTGGCAACAGTAGAAAAATACGAACAATGGAGAGTTTTTCTTAAAGTCAACATGTCTTTAGCTTTGAGGATTGTGCTTAATTCTAAATTGTGTTCCCCTCTGTGGTTTTATTTTACTGATGTTTTAAATGCCCCTTTTTAATGAAATGATGGTGAGATTAGAAAGTGGTTTGTTATTTGCTTTTGATATTTTACTACTTGGCAAAATAAAAGATGGGAGGTCCATTGTTAGTCCTTAAACTTCCTTTGCAGGGGTGCCCGGATGTGGTTCCCCTGGCACCAGTGTTCTCTAATTCCAGGAGAGTCAGATCACCGGAGACTTCCGGGGAGCCTATTGGAAGGCACAGCTGCTCCTGACGCCGGGTGTAGGGGATGGACTAAGCAGCCACAGACTCTACCTCCGGGAGCAAATGGCTTCTCCCCCAAAGGAGTGCACCTTTATCCTTCCTGTAACTCTAGTACCTGTTTGGAGCATCCCCTACCTCATGAGTCTGGCAGGAAGGCAGAGCCCTCCTCCCACCCTAGAAGCCAGACCTCACTTTCCCAGCCTCCTTTGCAGCTGCAGTACAGGCATGTAACAGGCCTTAGTCAATCAGACACTGGCCAGGAGCTCAGAATCTTAAGCAGGTGATGCAAAGAAGCAGAGGTGGGATTTATGGGACAGAACTGCTGCGGAAGCAACCCCAGGAAGAGTTTTCAGGGGTAGCGGAGGCTCAGGGCCAGTTGCACTCTTGTCCTCCCTGGTCTGGCCCAGAGGCCTGATTTGGGCTGGGGTTCTGGGTATGGTCCAGTCCTCTCTGGTTCCTGAGCCCAGGTCTGCAGCCGGCCCAAGTAGTCCATGAGAGCTTTCTGTTGCTTGCAACCAAGAACCCTGCCCCATTAACACAGAGAAGCCAGTGTCATGGGAATAAGGAGGACCCAGGGCCTGGAGTATGGATGCCTCAGGACCCAGTGGGTGGTGATTCTGTGGGGTGGGCAGACACAGAGGAACGGAGAGTTCTCATCTGGAATGTGGATGGGACACCCTGTCTAAGTGCTGGGTGGGGTAGCCCAGACCGGAAGTGCTGTGGGGGAGGGGAAGGAGGGATGTGAGAGGAGAAAGCCTGGAGCCTGCGGACGGGGGGTAGGAGGGGGGACATGAGCACAAAGAAGGACTGAAGCTGGGGTGGCTTTGTGGGAGGAGACAGCTAAGCTGGGTGGCGCTGTTCACATCCTCCCAATGTATATTTTGACCCTTTTCTTTTTTTTTTAAAGATTTTATTTATTTATTTATTTATTTATTTATTTATTTATTTATTGTCAGAGGGGAAGGGAGGGCAAAAGAGAGGGAGAGAAATATCAATATGTGGTTGCCTCTCCTGTGCCCTGCAACCCAGGCATGTGCCCCGACCAGGAATCGAACTGGCAACCCCCTGCTTTACAGTCTGGTGCTCAGTCCACCAGACCACACCAGCCAGGGCTTTTGGCCCTTCTCTGTCCATCGGGCAGTATATTGGCTAACGAACAGTCCGGGGCTGGACACGGTCGTCCTCCTTATCCATGTAAAGAAAAGGTGGTGCTGAGAGATGGTATCACTTCCACAAGATGCAAGAAGACAGGGCCCAGAACGGGAGCCTGGTTCTCACTCCAATGGCGATGCTCCCAAGAACCAAAACGGGTGCTCGGGTGAGGGCCCAACCTCTCTCTCTGCCTCAGTCCCTGAGTTTTCACCTACTTCTTGTGAGCACTTGAAGTAAACGTGCTCCCTGTGAGTCCTGTGTGTCCTGTGTGAGGCAGTGTAGTAGGACGATGGATTCTGGGGCCTGGCTCTCTTTGAAAACACCCAGCCCCCCTCCTCTGCCCCCACCTGTGTAACAGCCGGGTCCGGACGAATGAACCGCAGCACACACGCTGGCTGCCTCCCCAGTGGCCTTCCTGCCTCCCGCTGCCCCCCCTCCGCAGCCTCTCAGCCCGGGTTTGTTCCAGGTGTTTGTCCGGCTCCTCCTGGCATTGCGTTAGTGCTGTGGCGGTAGTGTCCTCGCTTGGGACAGAGTTGGGCATGGAACCTGGCTCACTTCTGACCCCTGAACAGTAAGGGACAGTTTCCTGGGGACTTCTGTAAAAAAATTTTCCTTGATCTTAAAACTGGACACGAGGACAAGTTGTTTCCTGTGTTTTTTGCTTTGTTTTGTTTTTCAGTTTGCTGCTATGGCTACAGTTGTGTGACAGTGTGACGACTGGGGTGGCAGCAGTCTTATTGTTTTTTAAAGATTTAATTTATTTATTTTTAGAGACGTGGGAGAGAGGGAGAAAGAGGGAGAGAAACATCACTGCGAGAGAGGAACATCAATCAGTCGCCTCTCACACACGCCCCAACTGGGGACCTGGCCCGAAACCCAGGCATGTGCTCTGATGGGGAACTGAACTGGTGACCTTTCACTTTGTGGGATGACACCCAACCCACTGAGCCACGCAGGCCAGGGCCGGCAGCCTTATTGGGACCATGAGGCAAGCTAGCCAAGGACAAAGCAACATGCTGAGAATGGCAGAGAGGAAGGAAAAGAAGGAATAATCTGGGTCCCTGATGATGAGGTGGAGTTGCAGAATTAACTTTTCTCTGGACTTCTCATTCTGTGAGATTGCACATTTTCCTCTTTGTCAAAGCCAATTGAATAGAAGTTCTGCTTCTGGCCACTGCAAATGTTGTTACTGAAGTATGAGCCATGGTATCAAAAGAATAACATAGTTCGGTACCCTAATACCTGACAGCAAGGACAACTGCCACTGCTTGGTTAAGTGAGGAAGACCTGGTGCCTTCACCAAAGGGAGCCCTAAGAATTCCGTTCTCGGCTGGTTGGCAGCGGAGAGCGCGGCAGCCAGAGGCCCCCACTCTGCGTCTTGTCCTGGTGTGCGGGAGGGCTCCTACCAGAACAGAGGTCCACCCCTGGTCAGCCAAACTTCTGACACTCATTTCCTGTAGGGTCAGCAGAGGAAAGTAGCTTTATTTACTGAATGAGGATGGAAAACAGATGTATAAGCACCCCGCTGGGCCCAGCATCCCCCTGGACAGAGGCTGGGCCTGTTCTCAGCCCTGACCTGCCCGCCAGCCCCCTGTTCCTCACATCGAATCCAGATGTGGCTTCTTCCAAGCCCTAATAATGATTTTGATTTGTGGTGGTGAAGTCACCTTTGCCCCCCAGCTCAACTCTAAACTCACCAACTCTCCAAAGGGAAGCACAGGAGTTACACTTCGAGACATTGGTGAGGAAGCCCCGGAGGGGCACAGAGGGCTTGAGAAGCAGACCAGTGCGGGTTCAGCCACAGCCTGGTCTCATGCCAGCCTGGTGATCTCAACCATTGTATCAGTCAGCAACTGCTGTGTAATAAGCAACCCCCCCCCCCATGCACAACTCGGGAACTCAGCAGCAACTCTGTGTTTGCTGATGGTTCTAAAGTTTGAGCAGGGCTTGGCAGGATGGCTCATTTGTTCTGCACACCGTGTTGCACCTCGTAAGTAAAGTTGGTGGGACCGCGGAGTGCGTGCAAAGCAGAAGAGACATGTGCCCGCCCTGTTCCTCACTTCCTGTCCCTAAGTGCTGGTTCTTTTTTCCTTCAGACCTCCCTCACTCACCAGCAAGCCGAAGGTAGGGAGTGTTGGCAGAATGTGTCCGTGTCAAGAGAAGCTCTTGCCACAAGGGGCCTGAGATGATCTTTGAAAGTGTTTCAGTATTCACTTGACCCAGAAAACCCCACAAAATCACGCAAATCAAGAGGTCCAAATCTTTGTGTTCACTTTAAGAACATCCAAGAAACTGCCCAGGCCATCAAGGGTATGCATTTCTGGAAGCCACCAAGTATCTGACAGATGTCACTTTATGGAAGCAATGCACCCCATTCCATTGTTACAATGGCGGAGCTGGGTAGGCGAGCCCTGGCCAAACAGGGGCCTGGACACGGGGTCAGTGACCCAAAGAGAGAGCTGAACTTTTGCTACACATGCTACAAAGTGAAGAGAGTGATGGTGGCCTGAAGGGTTTGATGTAGATTCTCTGGTCATCGAGCACATCCAGGTAGACAAAGCTCCTGAGAGGCAGTGCAGAGCTTAGGGGGCTCCGGGCGGATTCCCGCCAATGAGCTCTCCCTGCCGCACTGAGACAGCCTTTCTGAAACACAGCAGGTTGCTCCTGAGCCAGAAGAGGAGCTTTCACAGAAGAAAAAGTTATCCCAGAAGAAGCAAAAACTTATAGCCAGGAATAAGTTCAGCATAAAATAAATGCAAATAAAAATAAAAACAGAAAAAAAGAACCCAGGATAAACAGAAAGTGAGTTAGTTTTGTTCAGTATTTTGTGCAGTGCTTCAACTGTCCTGGTTAGAATGAAACACATATCCATACATAAGCTACAAAATATGAATTGTATAATTTTGGTGATTCCATATATGATTTAAATGCTCTTGTATTTGCATTTAAGACTGGCATTGCATAGTATAAAGTTGAACAGTAAAATTCATCCTATTGAAAAATTTTAATTTTTTCTTTACTTAGGACAACATTAAGTAGCAAAGGAAAAAAAAACACCACCATGACGTGAGAGAGACTATGGAAGGAAGGAGAGTTGTATGTTAGTAGCTCTAATGACATTTTTTCTTGTTTTTTGAACAAGGTTTCCCTCCCCCATCACACCCCTTTTCATGTCTTTGGACCCCACAAATTATGTAGCTGGTCCAGGGGCCAGGTCTCTTAAGGGCTGGGCCAAAATGGACACAGAACCACATTCTGTTGGTCAAAACAAGTCACAAGACCAGTCCAGAGTCAAGGGGGTGGGAGAAGGGAGAGGAACTCCAAATCTTAAGGGGAGCGGCATTCGGAACCGAGATGGGAGGAATTGTCAGTGCTACCTTTGGGGACAAAATACAGCAACCATAGGTCATACCCTTTTGATCCTTAGGCTTCTCATCTGTAAAATGGGACTAATTCTACTTACTTCCCAAGGCTGTTTGAGGATAAGAATATTGTGGATTCCTGGACCAAGGCAATGGCTCACTCAGGGTTGGTTCCTCCCCTTCTTTAATTTTGCTGTTTGCTTTCTCATATCATTCCTTTTATCCCAATCATTTATTTACTCAATATTTATTGAGCCCTATCACCCAGGCACTGCTCTAGGAGCTGGGAATCGTAGCGGGGGATAAAACAGACAAACGTGTCTACGTGCATGGAGTGTACGTGTTGGTAAGAGAGAGACATACAAAAGGAGGTAAATAAAAAACCGTATGCAGCCTGGTGGTGGGGGAAGATGCTAGGAAGAAGGAAAACTTGGGGGAAAGGGGTGGACAGGGCCGAGGTCAGGGCCGCAGTGTTAGCTAGTGTGGCCAGGAAGGCGTCACGAGGATGTCATTTGAGTGGCTCTTGCAGGACGAGCCGGGAGGATAGCGAAGGCAGAGGGAAAGTCAGGGCAGTGCAGAGGCTCCAGGAGGAGATATCTGGGTGTTTGTGGAGCAGTGAGGGGCCCAGGGAGCTCGAATTGAGAGCGAGAAGAGGGTGGAGGGAGCTGGGGAGGGCAGCGCCCCGTGGGCTGCGGTCAGGACTTGGCCTTTTGCTGCAGGTTTGGAGGAGAAGCCGGTGGCTGTAGGGTGGCCCAGAGACTGCAGCAGGGAGCAGGAGAGGGGCAGGGAGGCGGGGGTGGCCATGGTGGAGGTGGGGGAAGTGACCAGACTTCGAACGGTTTTTGGAGGTAGAGCAGAAAAGATTTATCTGTCAACTCACAGTGAATCAGTTCAGCATGAAAGGAGGGGGTTATCAAATTCTCATTTTATGGAGAGAAAGTCCAACTTTGGAGAGGTGGAGGGACAAGCACGATGTCATGGTTGCTAAGTGATGTACCCACAAGGTCATATGATTGTTAAGTGCTGTCCCTCATCAGGAAGGAAGGCCGTGGCCCAGCGGTCTGGCCGACACTGACGAGCAAGGGACGCGTGTGAGGCCTGCACTGGGTGTCTGTAATGGCTCTTTTCTCCTTATTTGTCACTCCAGTTCCTCTCTCCCCACCGCCGCCTCCCATCCTCCAGGCAGGGGGGGTCCAACCTTCTGGCGTCCCTGCGCCACACTGGAAGAAGAGTTGGGCCGCACATAAACTACATTGGGACGTGTAGTCACAAAAAAACTTGTAATGTTTTAAGGACATTTACAGTTTCGTGTTGGGCGCATTTGCAGCCATCCTGGGCCATGTGCGGCCTGTGGGCCACAGGTCGGACACCCCTGCCTAGTGCTTTGCAGACACAGCTCTATCTCCTTCAGGCCCAGAGGAACCAGCCTTGTCTATGAGAGGGTAACTGTGCAGATGTGAGCGAACAGAGGAGTCCCTCTTCTCGCTACCCATTCAGATTTGCTCCCATTCCAAGAAGCCCCTGTCAAGGCCGCCTCCTCTCTTCCCTGACCACCCATGGCCAATCTATTAGGACCCCACTCTGGGCTTGCCCTCATCCTTTGGTGGCGGTCTGGTGGGCTCAGAGGGCATCTGTCTCCGAGAATGTCAGCTCCCACAAACTCCTGTCCCCCTATCACTCTCCCTCCCAGCCAGCTCTGTGTGCAATGGCTTCCTGTGGCTCCCCTCACCTACTTACGCACTGCGGATGGTCTTATGCTGTCTATTACATCTTCCCTGTGAAAGTTGGCTGCCTGAGGGCTGGGGTATTTTTGTTCATGGAGGTTTTGCAAGTGCCTGGAACTATGTGGGGCCATTTAGATGCTCCTCGGGCATTTGTTTTGTCATTGGGATTGTTGTTGAGAAAAGAGAGAACCGGTGGGGACAATGACTGCTTTTCTGAGGGGTGAGGGGCAGTTGCAGGACCTGGAGGCAGCAGGATCTCCAGGTCGGAGGGGCTGGGCTCTGATTCCTGAACCAGCCTGGAGAGCCCCTGAGCTTCCTGTCACTAACAACAATGAACGCAGCCCCCAGAATACAGAGAAACCAGCATCACAGGAATGGAGAGGAACTAGGTAGGGTCTGGAGTGCACCGTGCTGCCCTAGGGGAAGTCCAGCTCCCTTCTGCACCACCTTTCCTCTTTCCCTGGGGGGTGGCTGGGTCAGGAGCCACACCCTCCTGCTGGCTCTGCATAGGCATGTCAGCGCACACCTGCACACCCTGCCTCTGTGGCCCCACCCCCCACCCAGCCCTTGTGTGCTTGCTGCTGACGTGGCTGTGGTTTCCAGGCCCCAAAGGTGCAGATTAGAGCCAGGGCGTCCTGTTCTCTGCAGCTACAGCAGGGGGTGGGTGGAGGACAGTCCCCCTGCAAACAAGCACATACAGAGGTCCCTTCTCTTCACCCTCTACCTGCGCAGGTGCATGTGTGCATGTGCACACAGATGGGTGGGCACCAGGCTGGCTGCTCTGAGGCCTCAGACATGAGAGCTGTGCACCCACCTGTACCAGGCCCTGCTGTGGGCAGAGAGAACAGGCTGAGGAAGTGGCTGCAGGCTCCCTTCCCTGCACCTGAGCTCACACCTTTACTGTTTCACCCACAGAGCATGGCCACACAGCCTTGTTTCCCTCCTCTGGGGGGAAACATGCCCTCTTTTGCCTTCTCCTATCAAGACCATATCTCCATGGGAGGGAGGGGTCTGGCATTCAGCCCTGAGTGGAGTGGAGCTCCTCTGCCCCTGAGAGGTCCGACCTAAACCCTGAGCTCAGCACCTTCTTTGTACTAGGAATCCCCACTTGGGGGTGGGGGGTGGGGAGTGAGTGTTGTCTCTGGGACCAGGCATCTTGGGTTGAATGTTGGCTCTGCATGACCTTACCCAAGTCACTTAACCTCTCTGTGCCCCAGTTTTGTGGGTATTAAATAGGTTCCTACATGCAAAGTGCTTGGCGCAGCAGCTTCTGTGCAGGGAAGTGGTCAATAAACAACTTAGCTGTTTTCAATAATAAAAAATACTCCATAAATGTCCCTCTTATTGTTTCCTGCCTCAGAGCCAGGAAAGGCCTGAGAAATGGTCTCTGTCAGAGCTTGCAGCCCAGCTCTGGCCTCCCAGACTGAGCCTGCAGCCTTCGGACCACCTGGGAGCCTGTTGGAGTCTCAGAGAGCCAGGCCACCCTGGGGGTTCTAAGGCAGCAGGTGGGTGGCAGGAGGGGGAACTCACACCTTGGCCTGCAGCCACCTGCAGCCAGGTACCCCCTCCCAGCCTCAGCCTGGTCTACCCACCTGCCCCCTCCCTCTTCTTTCTACCTTTCCCCCTCTGTCTTGCAGGGCTCTTTTGAGGTCATTGCCTGCAGGAAAAATGTCTGTCAACCCTGCTGCCTGAGCTTCCACCACTCCTACTTCTTGGAGCCTCGGTCTCCTTAAGAATGAAAGGGGTTCAGACTCCCACATCATGGATTCATGCCCAATGAGGTAATGCATCCATGAGTGCGTGGCCACAGCCACCAGTCCAGGCTGGCTCTTGCTACTGTGTGCACCCCATGCCTGGCAGGCCCTGCTGGCACCCAGTACCCTTGGGTTCTGGGGCTCCCAGCAGGGTGCAGAAACCCAGAGCCACAGCAGGCCTAGGGGTAGACTTGTTGACCAGGGTGGGCTGGAATGAACTTTGTGCCCCCCTCTCTCAACCTCCAAGCTGAGCAGGGAACACAGTGACTGGAGCTTGAGGGTATTGAGTCCTCACCCTAAACAGCCTAGAGGAGTTGCTGAACGCACCCTGGGCCCCGGAGGAAGTTGAAAGCTGGACCGCAGCAGTGACAGTTCAAGGGCCTGAAGGGCAGTCCCCACCCCACCCTCACCTGCTGACGTCACTCAGCTGGAAGGTGCGTGACCCTTGCACAACACCCCCTTCTCCCTGGCCCTGGATCTGCAGAGGCCTGGTCCCAGCCAGGGGGCTCCCCCCACCCCATGTGCTCTGCACATCTGGGCAGCCGGCAGAGCTTTGTGTCTTTCAGTCAGCAATGCCCTCTCCAGGCTCGTTTGAGGAAGGGCCCACTTAGTAGCTCTCCACCTCAAGCCCCTTTCCTCACCTCTCCCAGGTCACCTTGAACAGGAACCTACACAGTGAAACAAACAAGCAAGCAAAATATAACCAAAGGCACTGAAATAGAGAACAGGCTGACAGTGACCAGAGGAAAGAGGGGAGGGAATTTCAGGGGGAAGGGGGAAGGGATTATAGGAACAAGTGTAAAGGACACATGGACAAAAACTAAGGGGAGTGGAAATGGGAGGGAGGTGGGGAGCACTGGGGGGGTGGGCTGGGCTGGGAGTAAAAGGCAGAAACTGTACTTGAACAACAATTAAAATAAAGAAAGAAAGAAAGGAAGAAAGAAGATATCTATTAAGCACCTACTGTATATCTGTTGGTTTCTTATCTCCAACCTCATTTAATCCTTCACAATATCCTGAGGTGTATGCATTTCACAGATAAGGAAACCAGCTCAGAGAAGCTTAGTAACCTGCCTGAGGTCACACAGCTTATAGATGACCAAGCTGGCCTTTCTACCCAGGCTCCCGTGAAGAAGTTCCTCATGCCTGTGGGAGCCAGTACAACTAGGCTTCTTGTTTGCTGAGGAAGAACCGGGTACCCAGAGCTGGGAAGCGAGTGCCTCGGGCCATGCCAGAGGCTCCTGGCAGAACCTGGCAAGCGTACAGAACTTTCTTTTGTCATTGGATGCCTGACAGGAAGGGCTGTGACAGGAAGGGCTCTGCCGGGAAGGCTCCTTGCTGCCCTGCCTCCAGGTCCTTCTGGCCGGTCCTAGCCGAAGTAGGGCCCTGTGACCCTTCACCTCCTGGCCTGGCTTCAGTTTTCTTCATGACACTTACTGTCACTTGCACTTTTATCTATCAGATTATGTAACCCCAACTAGAATGTGAACTCCATGAACTCAGGGAGGGTCTATCTCGTTCCCTTACCTAGAATGGTCCCTGGTACAAACTTGACAATTTATAGTGGAATGAATGAATGAAGTCAGGTGAAGGAAGAAACTTAGGCTTAGGAGGGGTAGTTTGGTGTGAAGCTAAACTTATGAAGGCAGGCTGAATCGATCATTCTAGGTGGGGGAGGGGAGTGAGAAGTGCTGCAGAACAGGGCCAGCCGGCCAAGCGTACCACCACTGCTCTCACACACAGACTGAAAGTGAATGGTGTGCCCTCCGGTTGTGCAGTTTGGCCACACTGCCTGGCGCCCCTGGGGATGGGGAAGAACGCAGCGGTTGTGGCCCCCTCAGCAGGGCCACCTGAGGAAGTGAGGGAGCAGAGGCAGCTCCACGGGTGCCTGCCTGCTGCAGGAGGAACAGGCTGTACCCTGCACGAGGGCACCACGTGGCCGCGGTTAGCAGTTCGCCATCCGGTGGCTTGTCCCCACAGATGGCCCTCCAAGCAGGGGCAGCAGCCGTTCCGTGTTAGCAGTCTCCAGTACCTGGAGCGCCCAGAGGGATGCAGGTGGGGAGATCACCCCGACACACCCCGCAAACACACACCAAACACCGTAGACAAAGATCATCACCACAGTGGGAGGAGGGGGGGCTGTTTCCTGAGCCACAGAGGGCTCTGAAGGCGGGGGACACTGTGTTCTGAGACCTCTCCGTGGAGCAGAGGACTTGTGAGGAACCTGTCCCAGCCCCCGCTCCGCCCCGATCCCACAGGCTGGGCGCAACCACCACCCCCTGTGCTCCTGGGGCTCGTCTGTGATGAGTCACCTCGCCCATAGCCAGCCCTGCTGGGCGATGTTATCAGCTCCTCTGCTTACTTAATTCCTTGGTTGACATCACCACCGCCTCCGTCTTCACCTTCTCGGCACTGCTGCCTGCCGCCTGGCGTATCCTGGAAAGGAAGGCAGTGGAGGTCTCTTGCCAGAAGCTACCAGGGCGGGTAAATTAGGACCCCCAGTTACTTGGCCTTTAGCCTCAAGCCAAGTGCCTTAGTTTCCTGCTTCACTGTTTGGCGGCCTCAGTTTACCTCCCAGAATGCGTAGTCTGGAGTCAGGCCTTGAAAGAGCCTTTTCACCCTGCTTGGCACTTACCCCCTTTCTGCTTGTTCAGATGTAAGTGCCCCTGTGTCCTTGGGGTATAGTCCCCACATCTGGCCCTCTGCTGTCTTGTGCAGGGCCAGCTGCCTCCAAGTCTCTGTGGTGGGTCTGTGGGTTCCCAGGCTCTCCCAGGTTCAGACTGCAGTGCCTGGGCCACGGTGGTCTCTGCACCCGATACCGGCCGCCACCTGGGCAGCGTGGAGGAGCTGGTGGGGAAGAGAGGCCTGGAGGAGCAAGCCTGGATTCAGCTCTGCACGCCCCAGTCTAGCCGGGCTTCTGCTCCCCCACCTATCAAGTAGGGGAAACCACTGAGGAACCAATGAGATGATAAATGTGAAAGGGCGTGGCAGTGGTCACTGGCCAGCCAGGAGGCTGGAGTCCTGTACAGAAGGGACAGGGGAGTTCGGTAGGGTTTCATCCAGGAGGCCACGACTCAATGACTTGAGGAGATTTTATCAGTGGACTACGTCTGCTCTTGTATTTTTTAGGTTCCCTTTAAGCCCTGAATGGAGCTCTTATTAATGCTCCCACTGAAGTGCACACTTTGAACATCATGGACACCATTGCTGAACTCAGTCTGCGGCCTGCATAGACCCTTGGACCCTTTTTCAAGTTGGAGTACACAGGATCCTTAGTTAAATCTAGTGAGCGTTCTGCTGCTGGAGTACTTCCCTCTGTGGCTGCAGACTAAGCTCGAATTCGAGTCAACCGAGGCTGTTTTCTTCACTTACAGAGTGCAGCCCAATTTGGGTTACATGTTGAGCCCTTAACTCCCTTTAACCCTGAGCCCAAAGCTCACCTCCACATACATGGCTCACATGTACTTCAACCTCATTTACTCCAGACTGAACTTATCTTTCTCTCAGGAGCCCCTCCCTCAACTTCAGTGCTAGATCTTAGTTCATGGTAAGATTCCCTCTCACCCAAGCTGGAGGCTGAATCATCCTTGACCACTGCCTGGTGTCCACCACGTCTGATTATCTTGTTCATCTAGTAGATTCTAACACTTCGGTATCTTGAGGTTTCATCCCCCCTGCCCCAGCCTCTCTATTCCTCGCCTCCTCAGTTTCTATCATGGTTTAGATCCCCATCTCTTTCATTAAGAGTGACCAGTGGCACTCCTCAGACCTCCACAGCTGCCAGGGGGCTCCCTGATGATGCAAAGGCACCCTCCCCTCCTGGTGGCCGCTGCCTGCTTCTCTGGCCTCATACCCAGCCCTGCGGGACGCAGACCACGTGCAAGCTGGAAATGGCTGGGCCGGAACTGCTTCCTCACGTTTGCTCAGGCTGTTGGGAATGCCCTTCCCTTCCTTGTCAGCCTGGACATTCTCCTCCTCCTCCTCCTTCTCCAGGACTCCATAGACATGTAGGTTGCTCCTCCCTAGGTGCCTGGCTCTACTCCGTCGATCCCATGCTGAGGGTGCCCCCCCAGCTATAGTCTCAGCTTCGACACCGGCCACAGCCATCCTCTTGCCACGTCGACCTTGACCCCTCCAAAAACTCCGTAGGTAGGCACCATCTAGACCTGGGTGGGATCCAGTTTTTCCCCTTTACTGCTGGGGAAGTCAGACAAGTAACTTTATTTCTCTGAGCTTTCCTTCCCTCATCTATCAAATGGGTGAATACCATTCCCTGCTTTCCAGGGCAAGTGACTGAGCCAGTCAGGTAAGTGCTTGGCTCAGAGCCTGGCTCACCACAAGCGGACAGCAGATGATACCCATAGTTTCCACTGCTGTGAGTAATTACTAGGCCCTGGGAGAAAGTGCAGGTAGCTCAGGGTGCTGCCACCTCAGCCCTCTGCTCCACTCCCCAGAGCTGTCCTTTTGTCCCCTCCGTTCTTGTTCAGAGTCCTCTGTGGGTCCCCTCTCCGGCTGTCTTCTCTTTCCACCTGGACAAGGGCTTGGGCGAGGTTGCCTCGTTCCCTTTGCCAGGCCTTCCTCCTGGGACCAGGGCTGACCACGCAGGGCTGTGAGGATGCCCGGTGTCAGGACTGCCGTCTGCTGGAGGGCAGAGTGGGCTGCCGCACACCTTTCACTTACTGCAAAGCGGTGGCTCGCCCTGCATGACTCCAAAGTTCATCCCCAGCCACACAGGGGGTGAGATGCTGAACTGGCAGCTAGTGAACCCAGGTCATTTGGCTTCCAAGCCAAGGCTCAGGCCATTCTGCCTTGCTGCTTTCCCTTCACTCCCCCCTCCCCATTTTTGACTCAGTCTCCTCATCTGCAATATGGACAGGATCATTCCTTTTCTTTGTTAGTCTTTCGGAGGAAGGGAGAAGAAGGGGGTTAGGCAGGGAAGTTTTGAGTAGGTGGAGACCCGGCTGTGCACAAGGCAGGCAAGCCTGGCTAGGGTGCCAGACATTAACTGAGTTGGTCCAACTGAGTTGGTCCTGAGGCCTCCTAGGGTGCCAGCAGCTGAAGGAGGCCTCAGGACCCACTCAGTCTCCACCCTTCCAGCAACCTGTGCCTGAGTCCACAGTGCCCCCTGCTGGCCAGTCAGCCCAGAAGCCTCCTGTGGGCAGCTCCAGCCCCACACATTGTAATTCCCTATGGCCACCAATGGGAAAGTCCAGTCCCTGACCTCAGGGAGTCCAGCCAGGACTGGGCCTGCACCCGTGGCATAGGAATCCCAGACTGGGGGTGGGGAGCCACTGCTTCTCTCCGACAAGGGAGCTTCCTAGGCCAAGGAGTTCACCATTCTTATCCAATGACCTTGCTGAAATCTCCCAGACGGTCTGCAGCCAGACAGGAAGCTGGGCTCCACCAGCCACTACTCTTGGATTAGGGCTACGCAGTCAGGAGAAGAGGCAGTAAAATCTCTTACTTGCCCAAGACTAGGCTCCCTCATCAGCACCCTCATCATCCAGAGCCCAAGCCTGCTTTCCTGCTGTCAAAAGTTTTCTCCATATCACCAGTAGCTTCATCATTTTGTCATTTCCTTAGCCTCATTCTGTGTTGGGCATTCAGGGAGAGGCAAGCCCTTAATTGTCCCCCCAGGAGCTCAGACATGCCATTATCCCCCACTCCCCCGTCCCATTCATCCCCAACAGTTTTCTGCTCTAGACTCCAGAACCCTTTTTGGAGGAAAGCAGCTGTAACATACTTGAGATTAAAATCCAGCCAGCTGTGGCCACTCTCCTGCCCGCTCTCTGGGAAGTCCCCGCCTGGGCTCTGCTCACTGTCTTCGAGACTTTTCCTTCAAACTCTGTCCTTCCCATATTGCCTATATAAGGCCCAGATCACATTTTTCCTCCTCCAGGAAGCCTTGATGGGTGGATCTCAGCCTCAACAGTTTTCCTCGACTTCAGCCTTTGCAGGATCTCCTGGTACATACTTCGTCTTGTGTATTTTTGTTATCCTATCTGCCCCATAAAAACTTCACGCCTCAGGAGGGAATACCTATGTCACTGCCTTCCATGCATCCCTGGCAAGAAACAGGACAGGCAATACATCATTGGTTCTTAGCCTGGCATTCGGTAATGTCTGGAGACAATTTTGGTTGGCACAACTAGGAGATGGTGCTAATGGCATCTCGTGGGTAGACTGCTGGGATGCCGCTAACCATAGCACAATGCCCAGAACAGCTCCATCCAGAAGTATCCAATCCTAAGTGTCGCTGAGTTGGGGTTGAGAAACTGATTTAAACAAGCCCACAGACTGAGCATTAACATAGCGGCCTGGGAGGAGGCAATGGCTTTCGAAGAAGGAGACGACAGTTGTCTCAGGGCAGACACCACCTTCCCCTCCACGTGGCCTTCACACTCTCACGTGATGCCCACACCCTTTTCTTGGGCTGGTCACGTCTTGTGTAAGTGGAGGCTGGCAGGAGCCCAAGGGGGAGGAGGAGGAAGAGCCAGGGCCAGTCTGTGGAGTCCGTGGGAGAGTGGGCTCCGTGTGGGGAACCATTTGGGAGCAGAGGGTGTTGGCCTCAGCTGAGCCATCTGTAAAATGGGAATGGGCGGCCCCTTTCAGTCCTAATGGTCAAAGGTCCTAAACTGTGCCTCCTGGATGAGGCGGTCATTTTCCCCGCTGCTGAGTCGCAGGAGCCCTCCCCGGCCTGAGAGTGGAGTAGCCACCTCCAGCCCCTCGAACAGATGTGGGAGTCCTTGCGGCTCCAGTGGCCTTCTCAGGAAACAGCTGTGGAGACGAGAATGCTTTGACAGGCTTCATCAAAGCTGCCTCTGTGTCCCCTGGGGAAGGCCTGGGTGGGGCATTAAAAGAGGGTCCAGGTGGGAACAGTTGTTCGGCAGGCTCCAGTGTGGAGGTGGACACTGTGAATGAAGGGCGTCCCCCTTTAGTTGGGCTTAAGAATGCCCAAGAGGTTGGTCACCATGAGACAGCCCTCTCTAGGGGTACTTCGGGGTCCTTCTCTGCACCCTCCCTGGTCAATGCTCAGGTGACCAGGGCTCCTGGCAGCAGAGCAGAGGCCTCTCTCTCTCCTGTGAAGAGCTCTCATTGTGAGGGGCCTGGCTCTGATGCCCTGGGCAGGGGTCTGAAAGGGGGGCAGCACCCTTAACCTGGAGGGTCCCAGGGTCTGTAGTTAGTGAGGGGACCCGGAGCAAGCCTCTCCCCAGAGCTCATGGACCTGCCTCACCAGGGGCCAGAGCTATCCAGGAAAAAGATTGGTCCTTAGGGAGAACTAGCAGGAGGCAGAACTAGCTTGAAACCTCTCTGCTGGTGGCCGCCCCTTCAGCACTTTGCACAGTGGAAATGTTGTGTGACAGCAACCCCTCGGAGGGTGGGGGTGGGGGTGTGCCTGTGTGTGTGTGCGTGCATGTTGCCTGGAGACCAGGCTGGAACGTCTGGGTGTCTTCCACTGTGGCTTTGGGGGGAAGCGGGTATTCTGGAGTGAAATAGCCCTGGAACCAGCTGCTGGAATCTCTCCCAAGACATTGAACTCCTCTGCACCTCAGTTTCCTTGTCTGTCAATGGACATAATAACAGTTCCTCCCTGACACGTTGTCTGGAGGGTTGAACAAGGTAACGTGTATAAAGCACTTACCATAGTGCCCAGGGTGTGGCTAGTGCTCAGTACAGGCTGGTGTGGGGTTGCTTGTGTCATCGTTGTTACCACTGGGGGTAACACCTTTCCAGAACCCAGCTTTTAGGTCAACTATTGCTTTAGCCTGCTGTGAGAAACAAAGGTCTTTGGAAGCACTCTCAGGTCTTGGGATTTATCTACTTACTTATTTATTAGAAATTGTATTCCATCCCCAGCTGAGGTGGGTGGAAGGGGCACCAACTGCTG